GAGCTTTTCTCTGCGCTTGCGCGATCGTGCGACGCGAATCGGGCGTGTTCGCGTTCCGTCGGCGGTCGGATCGGGGTCTGAGGGCTTCTCGTGGCTGCCGAGAGATGGCAGCGCTGCGGGGGCAACGCCGCTCGAGACGGGGATCGTCGATAAAGATAAAGGCCGTGATGGTCTTTATCTCTCCGTTCGAAGGCGGGGCCGAGCGAGAAGGAAATTCTCGTGCGATTCGTGTGGAATGCGTCGCGCTTTATCGCTGCCGTTTTCGTTCGTGGGATCGAGAAAATACTCGCAAGCGAGGCGTTTCCGGGAGAACGATAAGGAGTCGGGATCCCCAACCGGTCGGAGAAGAAACTCTCGAGAAGTCCAACGGTGTACGGAAACGGCGGAAATGATTTTCGACAGCGAAAGGAAATCTACGATTCGCGCGTTTCGAGAATCGTACGGAATTCACTTGCACGTGAATGTACGTGTGCCCGTGCAAGTGTTCTCGTGGCACACGTACGCCGCCTGCAAGGCTTCGTTAACGCCGAAACGATGGCGGCGATCGTTCCGGTCGTTTTCGCGTGGGAACCGCGAAAACGCGAAAAACCGCGAAAGTGCGAGCCACAAAAACGGGAGAAAAGCGGGGAAAAGGCCTGTCGCCCACCTGAGGAGAGGGCGTGTGTCCGTAGAGGTACGCGACGGGGTAGGTCACGTTCACGGCGAAGAACCCGTAGAGGCAGAGGACCATGGTGAAGGCGATGTCCGTCGGGTTCCCGATCGTCTCGGGCGTGACGGTGACGTTACTGTTCCGGGCCCGGAAGATCACCAGACACGTCACTCCCAGGATCTGCAGATCGAGATCTGCACGATCGAAAACTCGACAAACAAAAAAAATTTGTTCGAATTTGTAAATTCTGACTCACGCATTCGATGATCTTGAGCGTGAAGGGTATGACCCTCCAGCCCGAATCCGCTTCAGGTTTTCCGTACGGCATCGTCGCAAACGGCGTGCAAGTGATTCAGCGCTGCCTCGGTGACGGAACTTCGTCTCTTCGACGGAGAAACGAATTTCGTGCTTATCTTATCGCGACGCTCGCGACGCCATCGCGCTTCTCCGCAATCTCCGAAGTCAACAAGATTTTATCGCCTCCACTCGATGTTCCTCTCGCGGAGGAGCGATCGTCGCAGATCGTCGCAAATTGCACCCGGAAGTCGTCCGGCGGTTTCGTCCCGGATTTTGAAGACTCCCGGCAAGAAGTCGAACGGATCTCGCGGGAAATCGCGAACCTTTTCGGGGGAAATCGCCGAATCGCGAGGACCTCCTGGACGGAGGATGTCCGAGGAGGCTCAGCGTCTCCGGGAAGGAAAGCGTAAAAGATGGCAAGAGGATGGCATGAGGATGGCATGAGGATGGCATGAGGATGGCAAGAGGATGGCATGAGGATGGGAAAAGAAATAGTGCAGACGCACGGAGCTTCTCCGTTCGGTGTTGTATGCACAATACAATGGCCCCAATGGACTGCTCAGGAGTTCAGGATAGTAGAATATAAAAGAACTAGAAGAAAAAAAAAAGATCTGATGGCCAACAATACGATCCCTTTTGCATCCATATTCATGAGGCATAAAAAAAAGCCAACCCCAACAGGGTGGGGTTAATTTTATTCACTGTAGCGTTTATCGTTCTGTCGTTCGTTCGTGGAATATTTTTTAAATAAAGGAATCTTTTATTCGCTAAAATATTCCGTCCTCGGGCCACCGATTTTTTCGATTCGGAACTGCGAATCCCATCGAAAGAAACTCGACCGATGACTTCGGTTCGTCCGAGTTAGGTTTCGAGCGAAACTCTTTGCAGACGGTGCCAGATCGAATGCGCCCGATCGCCTCTCGATGCGTCGCGATTGTTTTTTTTTTTTATTTTTCTTTTCGGGATCCATCGATCGCAGATCGTCGGATGCACTCTCGCTTGGAGCCAAAAAAGGCAATAAAAAAAAGAGGCGGGTGAAAGCCAGACGCAAGCCCCCTTTCGGGGTTTCGTCGGAGATGACACAAGCGAAATGATGGGGGGGGGGGGGGGGGGGGGGGGGGGGGGGGGG